AAATAGCAGCCTGCTGTAAAGGTTCATAAGGCGTGCTGCGAGACATGCACAGAAATGCTGGTGTTTTGAAGTTGACTACCCCATTTTTTAAATCCTACCACAAAAGCAAGCAAAGCATTGTAAAAAGTAGTTGTTTATTGCGACATGGTGTTGTAAGCTTTAATTTAGGATTTAGAGTATTGCTTGTTATGTTGTAATGGTGAGAGACCCAGTGCTTGTAATCATGAAACTTAGGTAATAGAAAACATCAGGGTGTCTTTTCTGTACCCTTAAGCTCCTGTAAATAACTTTTTGAGAACTGAAATTTCTTTTGTTGCCTGTTTTATCCAATTGCCATGTGGAAAGTAGCATTATTTCTAACTATAGATCAGTCATCTATACTGCTATTAAAATAAATCAGGAAGTGCCAGGAAGGGCCTCTTTTCTCAGCGTGCAGTGTTGGCAAGGACCTTGCTGACCACTGGTTTAATCACCTCAAGGAGCCTTATTGTAGGTACTTGTGTACAAACCATTGCGTTACTTGCTCATACAGTTCTGTCTTTATGCTCATAATTAATGTTTTATCTGTGAAGCCCTGGGAATATCAGACACAGTTTGTTGGGAGAGGTCTTATCTTTTATTAGACCTGCTTCATTTTATAACTGGGGAATAATAAAGATCCAGTTATACAGAGGAGTTCAAAGCTAGTTTGATGGATTGCCCCTCCTAAAGCTTTTTTTCGGTTTAGATGAGTTTGTGGAAGCTGTTGGGAGTGCAGGGAATGCTGTGAAAATGGTGGTGTGGAGATGAGCCATTTAGGTTTTGCAGAGCTACAGCAGGCTGCAGGAAGTCCAGGCAGTGTCACATACCTGGGATTCATGTGGCAGCTGAAATAACATAACAAATGCGGAGTAATAGAAATTGTGGAAACTTTGGTAACTTCCCAAAGGTGGTGGTGGTTCTAAACAAGCTGTCACCGCGCTGGAATGCTCTTGAAGTTATTGCCAGTAGGTCTCTGAAATGAACTTCTCCTTACCCGGGACTGGTCAGAAAGGCCAGAAGTAGGTAAAAACTCTTGGAAAAGGAAATGAGAACTCGAGGGGGGAACGTGAAGCTGATGTTTGAGTCTGAAACATGAGCATCTTGGGGATTGAGGGGAAATGGAGGCAGGACGGGCATACCCATCTTGAAAGGGACATTGTAGAATTAAAAAAAGATGGAGAAGGGCATCAGAATAATCAGAAGAGAGACCTTTTGTCATATTCCTTTTACTGAAGTGAGTGCAACTTTATCAAAATTAAAACAGCGAGTGATGTGGGCAAATAGGGAAAGTATCTACTGCTGGCCATAATTTCTCTGGATATCGGTAATGCTGCTTTTATTGAGCAGCAGATGAAATCAAAAGGACATAAAGAATGTTTATTCAAACTTTGGAGGGGTGCATTGCCATAAATACTATAAATGGCTTTGAAAGGCTGCCCAGATTTCTAGAGGAAGAAGAAACTCTGTTGGGGTGTTTCAGTGTAAGGGTTACAATGGCAAATCTGAAGGTGTTGCTTGTGTGAAGATGCAGGGGTTTGCTAGGACAGATTCATAAGAGATCACTACAGAGATAGGTGTTTTCAGACACTGTAATCCCTTGGAGCTGCTGTACTTGTTTTAAATTGTGGAATAAGCAACTTGTGCAATAACTCTTACCACAGACAATCCAAGCTAGTGGTGCTGGACTTTATTTTCAACCTGATTAGGTTGTCAGTAGCATATTTCCTGAGATAATGAAAGTATTTTCTGAACATTTCATCTGAGAGGTTTAACAGAAATAAAAATTGGGTGAGTGAGCTGGAATATTGGTGAAAAATTAATAATCCCTTCTTGATGTAGTCCTCTAAATTGCTTTTCATGCAACTTAGGAAATTGAATTCTTATTTTGGTCTTCTACAGAAATAAAACTGGAATCATAGAATGGAATTTATCCAGTAATGTGGGCTTCATACTCATTTCTCTTTCTTTTTTTCTTCTTTTCCCCCTGACCAAGTGCTTGTCTTAAACCTTTGGGGTGGTTTATGCTGTAGATAGTCAAATGCATTGATTTAAAGAACGCGGTTGCAAGTATTGAACTGGCACATCACTAAACCAGTAAGAATGACCTGCCTAATGGCAGTCAGCTGGGGCAGGGAGATCTTTCATGACTTTCAAGATGTGCCAATACAAATCTCCCCTGATAGTGAAGCTTAATTATAATTAAAAGCTTGAACAATTAGGTCTGATCACAGGCGGACTGGGCCATCAAGGTGATACGGCCAGGAAATTATAATTCCTGCTCGAGGTGTGCCTAGTAGCGATGAAAATATTAAAATCCCTGTGTACATCAGAGGCGTCTCGCCTAGAATTGATGTGTGTGGTTCTCACCATGTAGATGAGAAACTGGAAAAGCTGATAGGGAGAATGTTTGGGGAAAGGGACAGTCTGTTTGTAAGGAAACACTTGAGATGTTGGCTGATTTAGTTTGTAGAGCACAGCTGAGAGAAGATGCGGTTGCTTTCTGTAAATATCCCAGCATAAACACCGCTGGGAGAAGAAACTAATAAGCTAATGGGCAATGCTGGCACATCAACACCACCATCAGCTGATGGCTAATTTCTTCTGGAAATTAGAAGGCAGTTTCTAACTGTTAGGAGTGAGTTTCTGGAAGAAAAGCGCAATAAAAGTGTGTGTGCTGGACCAATTAGCTTTAACGTGGAGCTAGATAACGTCATTGCCCTCCCAGAAACTGTTTGCCTGGGATAGTTAGGATGGGATGTAGCCATCCAGGGTAATGCCTGCTGTGTTTCTGTGCCAAGGGTATAATACGTGGGGCCACTGTGTGATATAAAATATCAAAATGAGGTGTTTTAATAAGCAAAGCAAAATGAAAATTAATAATACAGTCTGGCTGGTAAAGCTGTTTCGGTTCCTAATCGTATTCAAAGAGGGGTACTTGCTCAGGCTGGCAGAAATGCAGAAAGTGTGAGGAGTTTTTGGTGCCTGCTGACATCTCAAGCTGTTCTTGTGTCCGTGTTCAGGAGGAGCTGCGATGGCCCAATTAAGTAGAGGAAATAGCTGACTTCAAGGAGGAAAGTCTGATATTTTCCCCTTTAATTGGGACACGCTAATCTGGTGCTGGAAACCATTCAGAATGCAAGCAGCATGGGAGTCAGACAAGGTATGGAAAAAAACCTGGCAGAGGAATGAAAAGGCCCAGCCTGTTGTTAAATGACTTAAAGCTGTGCTCTGAAATATGCACTGAACAACAAAGTTTTTGAGGGGAATTCTTCACAGGTGTATGATGCAGCCTGCTAGGAAAAGGAAATTGTGTGTAGGTTTTCCTTGTTAGAGAAGTTTTCAGCCACTGTGAAAGCAAATGCAGGGTGATAGACAGAGGGCATGAGGTGTGCGAAGGGAGTCAACAACTTTTGTCTCCTAGGAGCTGCTTGTTTGTAACATGTCCCAGTGAACACAAATACGACGTCATCTGAAACTGGGGCCTAAACCTGCCAAAATAGTATAGAAGAGCTTATTTGCCAGTGAAAGAGGAAAGCTGTGGCAGTTTTCCAGGTGGTGGTGACACAGTTATTACAAGTTTATTATGGTTTAGCATCTTCTGTGCCAGCCAAGCTGCACAGCCGACGCTGAACGGTGCTGCCCTGTCCCGTAGGAAAGCAGGATCCGATTTGCATTGGCAGACGCGCTTGCTGCCTACCTGTGCTTGAGATCTTCATGACCAGAAGTGGTTAACAACAGAGCCACTCTGCTTTGTGCAACTTCTGTAGCTTGGCTGGCTGTGTGCTGAGTCAGCTGGCAGAGGAAGCTGGAAAGATGTTTATTTTGATGAAGTATTTGCGACAAGGCCGTGTTTGAAGCTAGCGTTCGCTGCAATTTTCGTCTTATGGAGGGTGCCTAAAAGGTGCTGCTGTGCCCTTACAGTCAGAGAAAATGCCATTTGTCAGGATTGTTTTGCATTATTTAAGCTGATGGTGTGCAGAGGGCTGCTGTGTGGCGCAGCAGCAGATGGGAGTATTTGCGCTGCGAGACTGACTCGGTGGGGGGTTTCTCGTGATGGGAGTGTTTGCTGCACTCATTCCTCTGTTGTACCACAAGGAATCTTTAATGCTGTGTTTCAGTGTCTTAAATGATGTATGTTACCGAGTGAGTATTTCTCACAACTCTCAAGCATAGACACAACTTTTTTTTGTCACCTGAGCGTGCACTGTTTTGCCTTGACCAACACAGCTGAACTTTGAGGTTATTAGCCATTTTTCTCAAGGATCTTACTTGTCCTTTTTTCCTCCATTTCCCTCTGTTACCAGCTCAGTACCTTATCTTCCTTAAGGGCATGAGATCATCCCAAGAGGCTCCTGTTGGTGTGACTCAGGGGTGTGAGTGCGTTTCATCCAATGGCCTGCATCCTAGTAGTGAGTTTTAAGTTACACTTAAACTTGCACCTTTCCACTCAGCATTGCAAGATACTGCAGTGAATCCTCGTGATGCTTTTCTTCCTCCAGGAACTGGACTTCAAACCTTGTGTCAATCTCCTGTCAAGCACAGCTGAAACCTTCCAATTAGTTTGCTTGGCACCAGTGCTGGGATGAGTCAAGCTGAGCTGGGGAAGGGAGAGTGGATGGTGGCTCTAATTCTGAGGCCCAGTGATACCCAGCAGTGTTTTAAAGCAGTTTCAGGCTCTGGCCTAAGGTGGCCAGGAATTGCAGCAGCAGCAGTGAGTATTTTCTTCCTGGAGGAGGAATGCTCTCCTGAGTTGGGCAAAGGAGAATGAAGTGTAACAAGTAAAAGTGGAGTCTGACATCTGTTCAGAATGCTGGTGAATGTGGCAGCTCTGCTCCTCTAGAAATACCAAGACTTGAACAGCAGACTCATGACGAGGGTGGTGGTTTTGCCATTCTTTTCCTTCGTGCTTCATTCCAGGAAATAAAATGTTCAATGTCAATGTATTGTGTACATCTGGAACCTGATTCTCATCTCATTTTTGTCTTGTAGTTGTACTTATTGGCGACTCCGGAGTAGGCAAGAGTAACCTTCTGTCTCGATTCACTCGCAATGAGTTTAACTTGGAAAGCAAAAGCACCATTGGAGTAGAGTTTGCAACAAGAAGCATTCAAGTTGATGGGAAGACAATAAAGGCTCAGATATGGGACACAGCAGGGCAGGAGCGATACCGAGCTATAACATCAGCGTAAGTGATAGCTTGTATGGCTGAGGGGAAACTTTTGCTGAGGAGGGTAATTTTGGGTCCTTCTGATTCCTCAAACTGCAGACAGGGTGTTTGTATCTTATCGTGTAATATCCACAACCTGTGGGGGAAGGAAGCTCAAATATTATTCAGTCCTGAAACTTGATATAGCGTGTCCCTGCTTGAACTGATTTACTTCTCAGTGCTCTCACAGTAGGTAACCGGAGGCATTTCAACCCTGGAATTCAAGAGCTTTGAGAGGCTCATTTCAATGCAAACAATTGATAAAGTAATATCTGTGTTCATGGAGGTAACCTAAGAGCAGAAACCCTCCTGTAGCAGTAAGGAAAGACTGCTCACTTTGCTTGCTCCTTTAATTGGAAAAAAATAGCACAGCAAAAGCTAGATTTAGGTGAAGCTGTAGGTAATTGTGGGGTGGGAGCACACAGCCTGTTTCTTCTGGAATGTGTAACTGTGCCCCTCTCTGGGCTGAAAGGAGACCAGCCGTGGCCTCTTGTAAAGGAACAGATCAGGCTGACGTTTTTATGACCCAGTGAGTCATTCTGAAGTGTCTGTATCACTATAGGCTGTGCCTGTGCTGCACCCATGGGGATGGGTGGGGGAGGCTTCAGGAGCAGATCAGAGGTTGAAGGTGACAGTAGCTCCTCACAGATTGCAGAGGCTCATTTTTGGGATGCAGAGTTCTCCCCATAAGCATAGAGCTTGGCTCACCCCCTAGACTGAGCTGTCCTGGCTGCTCTGGTGGTCCTGTGGCACAACCCTAGTCTGGATGCTGTATTCACTGCTTCAAGTCCCACATTGCCTGCTTTTGGGTACTTTTTTTGCATAGCTGCCTTAGTAAGGAGCTATTTCCTATTACTGCCCAGTAACTTGTTACTTTTAATCACAGTTTTCTTAATCATGGCTGGTTCTCTAACACGTCTCTTCACCCACAGATACTATCGCGGAGCTGTAGGGGCATTATTGGTGTACGACATTGCCAAGCACCTTACCTACGAGAACGTGGAGCGATGGTTGAAAGAGCTGAGAGACCATGCTGACAGCAATATTGTAATCATGCTTGTGGGAAACAAGAGTGACTTGCGCCACCTGAGAGCAGTCCCTACAGATGAGGCCAGAGCTTTTGCAGGTTGGTGAACTCAAAATAGCTTCCTAATGCTAACTATCTGAGGATCTGCTCATTCATCTTAGATCCACGAGTGCGCTGGTAGGAGGAAAAAGATGGTGATGTTCCTCAGTGTCATAGTCATGTTTGCCTCTTTAATTCGGTGAAAAAGGAAACCTTGTAAAATGCACACGCTGATGGGGTTCTAAGAAGCAGCCAGAGGCACTTGAAGATTTTAAATCAGATTTTTTCTCTTGCCTACGCATTGCTTTTCTCACAGAAACGGTGCCTATGGCTTTAGGTTTGTGTTTCTTGTATGGTGGTAGCTTTGCACCTGTGTATTGCCTTCTGTATTGCCAACTGATCTTGATCCCTGTCCTTGAGGGTGAGTGTGTATTCTAATGTTGGTGTTGGGTGGTGCTTTCAGATCATGTAAGGGGGGAAAAAACCCCACAACTTGATATCCGTGTGTCTCATCAGGAACACCACAAATATAATCAGGCACAGAAGTTCTTCCAGATGGGAAACAGATCTGTGATGTACCCCTCTAATTATAGTATTTCTGTCCTCACAGAGAAGAATGGTTTGTCATTTATTGAGACGTCTGCTTTAGACTCTACAAATGTGGAAGCAGCTTTCCAGACTATTCTGACAGGTGAGTCATCCTGTGCTTTGTGTTTCAAGGGGGAAGGGCGGAAGGCTGCTCAGATACGATGCAAATAGGCATTTCTTTGCCTATAAAGCGTTTGAAATTTTGCTATTTAATCATTCTTCACAGCCATAAGATTTGAAGTCCGGTTTTGAAGTGCCACAGTTGAAAGGCCAGCCTTGGACTCAGGAGTGAATCCTTGTTCGCTTTGATCTGCCCCAGGTTTTTAGTCAGCCTGGTTTGTGTTTCAGTTTCCCAGTTGTGTATGGCACAGGGAGTGCCCACGGGGGAGAGAGCTCTCTCACGCAAGCATCAAGTTAAAAGAGCCATTGTTTATCAGAGGAGAAGTCAATCTAGTTTTTTTTCCATCTTTAATGATCACTGTAGCAGTTGCCAAGGGAAAAGGGATGAAAGAGCAGAGATCCTTCCTTTGAACAGTACTGGGAGTTGGAGACGCAGCGGCTCCTGAGCAGCACGGCAGTCACTGTTACTGCATGGTAGTCACTGCATTTAATAGTCCTGGCTGGACTTTTGGCCTCTAACACGTGATGGCAGTGAGTGCTGCATTTTTTTATGCTCTGTGGATAAAGTACTTCCTTTTTGTTTAAACCCTTTTTAGAAAGGTGAAACTTCTCAAGAGTCTGAGACATTCAACTACAGCAATGTAAGGGACCTTAAATTAACCTTGGCTTCTAAAGGATAGGGTAAGAGTTCACAAAGTGGTGTGGAAACCACTGTCATGGGACTCCTGTATTGCTGTGGACCCTGTCAGCTGTAACCAGGGCCCGGTGGGACAACAGTGGCTTTTGAGCTTTTGTTATTCCCAGCTTTGGCAAACACCTCTCCAGATCTGTGGTTGGGGTCTTAAAACATCTGAGAGGCCCCTCTGTTTTGGTACGTCTCTTTTCTAGGTGTGCCAGGCAGTCTCTGTTTTCTCTGTTTCCCAGTTGAAAATTTAATCTCCCTCCTTCCCAGTGTAGCATGTACCAGGCTTTGTGATGTACCTGGTATGAGCAGCAGCCCCACTTCTAAACCCTGTGTCTCTGTTAATCAGATCTCATTTCTGTGGCACTGGCACCTGTAAGATTTGATTTTTTTTTTCTTTGCAAGCTAATTTAGACATTCATTTAAAAACACACCAAAAAGGACTTGTTAGCTGTACTGGAACATGCAGGTGAGGAGACAGCTCGGAAGTGATTTACTGTAAAAAAAAGTGTAAGTTCTATAGTGTTTTCTTGAGTTGTTTAAAATGCTTTATGGACATGCCAGCAGTGTAGGGAGAGAGTTGTTGAGCTGCTGGAGTATTATCTGCCTGTGTCCATCTGTTTCTTGTCTAAAGGTTGGTTGTAGGAGGTGTCTGATAGGTTCTGGTTCTATATTGTTTTTTACAATGGGTTCCTAAACAGTCATGCTCCTGCCCATAGACTAGAAAAAAGGGTGTGTTGGATGAATGAATAGTGCATGGGATGCTTGTCATGTCACTGCCTCATGCAGTGCTGGGACTGGAACTTGAGATCGTTTCCTCTTTAGCTGAACCACGTGGTTCCCTTTAACTTCAGTGAAGTCATTTGGCTGTAATTCAACATTGCACACATTGAAAAAAGTTATGTTAGCTTATACATTTACTCCCTACATGACTAAGGACTAATGCCATCAGAGGGTGGATGGCTAAGGAGTGGCTGAGTGTGATGGTATCTGGGATGCCTGCTAGATTTCCTGATTTCTTCACCTACTTGAAGGCAGTCCTGACAAAAATGCTCATGAATTTGGGCATGGATTTTTCAGGAGGAAGGCATTTCTGTTGCTTGCTTGTTACTGCTAAAACCTGAAACTTTCCTTTATGCATGTGTCCTTGGTAGCTCCTCTCGGGAGCACCTAGACTGAGCTTTGAGGTCAGATTCTGGCCAAATGCTCTGTGTGCAGTGTATAAAAGCCTTGCTGTCTGTGCTTTCAGTTTTCAGAGGACATCAGGGCTCTCAGATGAAGGCTGGTTAATTAACTTTCATACCAGTTCAGCACCAGCACTAATAAAACAGAACTGGAAATATATCAGACATCTTTATCCCCTCCCGAGGTGGCTGTCAGGCTGTCATAGCCAATACAAAGTGGTCACCTCATTGTCCCCATCTCGGGTTGGACCGTTCTGTTCTCCAGCAGTGACAGCTGAGGAGGTGGAAAGTTTGCTGTGTGCCCTGGGCTGCTGCCTTGGTCCCTGAGAGCTGCGTGACGCTCAGACGATATCCTGCCGTTGCCATGGGAAGCAGTTCACCTCTGGGGCACAGGCTAGGCGGTTTTGTTATCTCGCCTTGCATGCTTCCAACAGTACCTTTTATTCCAGAAGTTATTTTGGGTTCTAATTCGTGGAGGTTTGACTTTTTTTCTAGTTTAATTTTTCTGTAAAGGAGAGCGGTCTGTAATGAGAGAACACGGGATTAAAACTTGTCCTCGGCGGACTCTGACAGATTGTTGAGGCTGTTGCTTTTCCACAGATGTCAATGGTCCCTGATGGTGTTTCGGGTAAAGAGCTCTGGGGTATGTGGACAGGATCCTTGTTCAGGAGGTGCTGGCTCAACTGTGCTGGAAGAAACACTTGTGCTGATTAGTGGGCATGTGGCTCACTCCAGACAGGAGCTCCTGTTTCAGGGAGATAAAGATGAAGTAAATAATGCATTAGCAGCAGGTTGGCTCCATCTCGGCTGTGACTGGCATGCTAAGGACGAATGTTCTGCCAATAAACTTCTTGATAACACTTCACAGCTGGCTTTTTCTGTTAATGATTTGCTTTGAAGGAAAGAGGGGAGCAGTCATCTGAGGAATGTGGTTTTCAGTGACCCTGCAGAATCGTGGATAGTCTGGATTTGGCAAGGCTGCCTCCAAGCACAGCGCCTGCGGGAGGAACGCTTGCTGGCCTTTGAAGAAGGAAGCTGATAGAGGCAGCAGGCAGTGCCATGGGCTGCAGGCGGAGGTGGCTGACAGAAGACGGGGCAGGGCGTGCTGCTGCACCAGCTTGGCCTGTATTTGCAGTGCTGAGAACTGCACCACAGGGACATCCCAGGCTGCTTTTTGCCATTCACAGCTGCTTACATCTCTCCTGAACAGTGTCGAGACTAAGGTCCCTGGCAAGACTTTTCTTCCCCAGCCCAACTGGGGGTGTTCTGGTTGGGACAGTGTTGGAAACTTGTAGGAGTACTTTCCTTGGAGGCATAGCAGGGTCTGTGTTAAGCTTCTCCACACTTGGATTCTCAGATTAAACCACTTTGAGCAGATGGCTTTGGGCATGGGAAATAGGAAGGCATTATAATACTTAGCACAGCCTGAGTGAGTCTGTGATCTGCTGGTGTTACAGCTTTTCTTTCCTCTCTCTATATTATAGAGGACTTTTTGAGGGGGTATATCTTACATCTAGTGGGCTTCCTGTCCTGCTGTGGATACCAGGTGAGGTTTGGGGGACCTTTTCCTTCTGTGGCTCAGAGCAATGGTCCCTATCCAGATTCTTCTGTTGTGAGATGTCTAGACTTCAAGGGCTGATTGTTGTGCACACAAAGCCGCTTTGTATCTTCTGGCAAATAGGAGAGACTGGTATTATAATCCTGTCTACTCTGAGCATTCACAGCAGGATAAAGCATCCTTAAATTAAACTGGAGTCTGCCTCTGCTCCCTGCCCAGCTCGGTGCTCTCTGTTCCCGTGTTGCATTCTGCTACGGTTTCATCTCCGAGAAATCCTATCTCCAAGGAAACAACATCACAGAGCATTAATGTAAAAAATCGAGGGATTTCCTCTTTTATTAGCTATGTACACCTGAAAATGAATGAAACACGAGTGCAGGCTGAGCAGACAAGCTCCTCCGGGGCAGCAGTGTCACTTTTTCCCAGCCCTCTTACAGTGCAAGGCCTGTCTCGCACAGTTAGCAATTACACAGTGATGCAGTCAGCTGAATGTGCTCTTAATAAGGTCTCATTCAGTTACTGAGCAGAGCACAGAGTGTAGTGTCTTCATTAAAAAGCGCATGTCTTCATTAGCTTGGCATTCCTCAGTGCAGACCAATCTCAGTGCAGGCTTTGCCACTGGGCGTTTTGCCCCTGTGAGAGCAGGTTTAAGCTGTTCCCACCCCCCCTTCACACCAGCACAGATGTGTGTGGTGAAAGTGTGCAGCTGATGCAGGGGGGGAAAAGCAGGTTTTAGCCTTTGAGCTCTCACCTCGGGCAGTGCACAGAGCTTTGTGCTGCAGAGGAGGGGGAAGCAACAGCAAGCAACGAACTTGGGGCTGCTGCGAGTTGATTCAAGCAGCAAATGTCATTGCAGGGCTTGGGGGGGGCATGGAAGTAGGGATCCTGGAAATATGTCCCCAGCATCAGAAGGGATAGATCCTTTATTAACAGAGAAATCAATGCTGTAAAGGTTGTTTTTAAGGCTTTAGGGCTGTTCACTGAAGATCTTTGCTGTAAGATGAGGGTGTTACACAGAGGACACCATGGTCTTTGCTTACAGGGGTGGAGGAAGTGTGTGACAGCTCATGCTGGGGACAAGTATGAACTTGTGCAGGAAGTCCTCTGGAAAACTGAGAATTGCTGCTGCCAAAGGTGCTACCAGGGAGTTTCCAGCAAGGAAGGTGGCCAGAGCCTTCTCCCATTGAATGGGAAGGGGCAGTGTTTGGTGCTTGGAGGTAAAGTGGCTGCCAGCCCTGAGCTGGGCCAGGGCGGTGGAGCAGAAAACCTGTCCTGAGGAATGCAGTGGATCCCTTCCAGCCGTGCTGCCCCCAGCTCTGCACACAGGCACTGCCACAGGGAGAGGCTGATTGCTATCTGTGCATTCCCACGGGGGCTTGCAGGTGGCTTTAAAGAGCTGATTTCATGAGATTCACTGAACTTGTGAAGCTGCTCATGTGTAAGACTGTTAGAAAGCAGCTGAACTAGGAAAGGGTGAAATGGGAAAAGCCTTTTACGTGTGAGCTCTTGTTTGGTTGTCTCAGTGATTGAGTGGTAACTGAATGCTTTTGTAAAATCAATTTTTCTGAATGTTTTATCCCTGTCTGAGTCTGAGCTGTCTGTTTGGAAGCCCAAAATGCAGATTCTTTCAAAGCCCCGCTTGCAAAGTTGAATTTATTTGTATAGCCCATGGATACACAGCCCAGTTTGGTGACCTTTTTTCTTCTTCTTTTTTGTTTTTAAACTTTTTAAATGGTTTTAAAACTGAAATTTGCAAGCGAGTTCCCCACGTTCTATTTTTGGTAGCCTTTATTTCCTTTCTGGGGGTGAAGTGCTACACATGCCCTACTCTTCCTTCTGCGCAGCTGAAGTAAGGGCTGTTGTAGCTACTCTTTGTTTACGTACAGTGCGCGCATCGGCCGCTGACAAACCCCAGGAAACTGGGCCAGGTTTTGGTGCAGGTGTGCAGCACTGGGAAGGTGCAGGACTTTAACCCATGCTCTGTGATTTATGCTGGAATTTCTTTGTCTGGGGTCCATATTTCATCTCTAGTTTTGATGTTCAGCTGCACCAACACCATGGCTTTTTGGAAAGGGCTTATGTTCTGCTTGAGGGTCTAGGTCTCCTCTTTTGGGCCCAAACCAACCTTAACCTGCTTAGATGACAGACAAGCTATTGTACATGATAGCCATGCTGAGAGAAAAGCAATTGTCCTTGCAGTCCTATTGGAGAAAGGTCTTGAGTGGTTTTTAAATCCTGCTGTTGTCTGCAGGTACGTCAGCAAATGTGCAGCCACTGTCCCCAGGGCTTTAGGGACCATCAGCGTGATGATTTCTTGTCCTTTTTAACTCTTATGTTGAGTAAAACAGTTAAGAAAAGAATTTATTTTGCAAAAATAGAAATACTATTTTCTGAATATAGAAAGTATCGCAGTTGAATTTCTTGTGAACGCTTCTATGCGTTACCTATATATTTCTAGATCTTGAAGCCTTAACTTTCTGGTGGTGCATTGCTGGGGTTCGTGTAACAACCGGCTCTTTCTCATCTTCCAGAGATCTATCGCATTGTTTCCCAGAAGCAAATGTCCGACAGACGCGAGAACGACATGTCTCCAAGCAACAACGTGGTTCCCATCCACGTCCCTCCAACCACTGAAAACAAACCAAAGATGCAGTGCTGTCAGAATATATAGAATTGTTCATTCTTTCCTAAAAGGCTGTGTATATTCCCCAGGTCCAAGATTTAAATATATTTGTAATCCTCGTGCTTACTTTCTTGTGTTTAGTTCCTGCTTATTCCTTCTGAATTTCTCCATGTCTTAAACACTTTGGTTTCAGTGTTGATCAATCTCTTGCTTGTGTGGCTGCAGTATTTTCCCAACACTGATTTTTGTCGGTTTTGGGTCAGTGAATGATCTGGAACTGATCTGATCTCTTTCCGATACGATGCCCGCTAGTCAGAGCACAGACACCTTTAGTGAGCACTCGAAGATGTTGTTCTGCTCTGCAAAACCATTACTGTCAGGTTCACTAGGAAAATATCTCTGGGCAGGATAACCTTTCCTTGGTTTAAGGTGGTGTGTACCGCATCTAAAGCTCGATGAAATGCCCATTGCTCTGAAGTGCAATTTTAATGTAAGTTAATGTATTTTTGGCTACATCTTCAGATTGTTGAGGATTTTTTTTTTTTAATAGAATATTATGGAGGAGAAAAGAGAATTTCTTGCGAATAGGCAGCAGGGTTCTTGCTGTTGTGGTTTGGCACCTGGTGCAGAGGAGGTGGTGCGGGGAGGCAGAGCTGCCGGGACTGTTTTGGAGGTGCCTCTTGAGAAGACAGCAGAGCTGGAGCTGCGTCGCTGACGAAGGGTCACGCTCGCACTGGAACCTGCAGCGTGGTGGTGTGCTGCCCGAGCCGTGGCCTCTGCAGTGCTGGTGGTACCAGGATTTGAGGATGCCTTTTTTCTTTCGTGCTACACAGATGTGAAGGGTGTTGTCACGTATTACATATCACACTTACTGATTCATGCCACGTAGTAATCTATCCAAACGCTTGAGTTGATGAATCAAAAACTTCCACAACTTGGTCTTAGTTTTCAGTTCTGTTTCATCTGATACTTCAGAAATATTCGAGTGGTTTGGTATATGTTAACAAAAACATCTGGAGTAGTTTTCTGACTGGACACCTTCCTCCTGTGGTCTGTTGCCTGGTACAAATCGTCTGTTTTAGCGTGTTCGGGGATACATGAACTGTGCCTTCTGTCACCGCGTATCTCGGTACACGCTGTTCCCAAACACGTCGCTAACAGTGAGATTTGGGGGCTATAGGCTCTGAATTTCTCCAGTATCTAAAAGAACTGCTTGTTGTGTAACTGCCTGCAGTTATTTATACAATTATAGGGAAGTAATTGATTGTCAAACTCTGATACGACCCACTGGGAACACCCAAATCCGGGCAGGCACTACCAGCTGCGTTTCGTACCCAACCTTTCTGTCTTGCGGTGCTCATGAAGTGTAAGGCACACGGAAGGCATTGCTGTAGTCGGTCACTTGTTTTTTGGTTTTTTAAATCCATTTCTCCTCCTAGTATTAGTTCTGAAGATGCTCTCTTGATCTGTTTGTAAATTACTTTGTATTTTATGCATGTACTGTACCTCGATAAATTTTTTTTTTTTAGATTGATTTAAAATATATTCATTCATGATTCTAATAAAGAATTACAGGGGACAACTCAGTGTGGTGTTGGGTGCACTTTTTGGGAGATCTGGGCTTTGACCTGCAGGTTTTTATGCACTGGAAGCCAGCAAGCTGCTTGGAGCAGGCTGTGAGAAGTGGAAGTGCCCCAGAAAAGGAACTGAAAGGGTCCTGTAACACAGTTGCCTTCACTCGACCAGGCCTGCAGCTTTTTGGGGCTGCTGCAGTTCATAGCCGTGACAGTTTGGCAGCTTCAGGAAGCTTTTAAGCTCTGAAATGTCTGTGGGTTTGCTCCGGTCAAACCCCTGTGTGGCTTTTACAGACTTGGGGCTTTTTTTCCACATTGCTACCAGTAAGAAAATCCCATGGGACAGCAAATCACTGCCTTCTACAGCAAACGATTTTTGATCCTGCTTTGGTGTCCTGCACAGGAGCCCGACCGCCCTCAGCGCTGTGTGATGGCCCTGGCAGCCTCCAGCAGCGCTGGCAGCTCTGGGGACAAAGGCAATTGGAGCCTTTTAGCATTGCAGGAGCGTCTGAGGATGAGGAGTGAGATGAGGCCCTTCCTTACAGCAGGAGCTGCTCTCACAGCGCTTCCTCCACTGGACTGGAGAGTGTTTTGGTTTTCACCAAATGACCAAGGCAGCCAAGTTCTAAACTTGTCACCTGGAAACGCCAGATGAGTTTCACTTCGCTTCCTTCTCTGATGCACGTAAGCAGGCGGCTCGGCTCGGCTGTCACGGCGGGGTTGGATTTCACATGTTTTTGTGAGACTCTTCCTTCTGCAGCGAATGCGACCGCAGCGAAGCCTTGGGGAGCACAAATCGCTGTCGGGGCCTGAGGCTGCCCCTGCTCCACACGGTGTTTGCGTGTCCTGTTAGACAAAGTAAGAACTCGGATTTATTCTATTTTCCCTGTCAGAACTTTAATAATCATAAAGCAGGCCTTAGAAATGCTGTGCAGAAACTGATTTTGTACTTGGGGAACTGCTGCAACATGACATTGTCATGCAATAATTTGTGAAGCCTTCGTAAGCTACCGACTTCTACAGCAAAATCCAGCGGTGGATGGCCAGAGCTGTGACTTTGTACCTATTACAGCCTTTGCCTCGTGTGCTCTGGTTTTGTGGTGCTTTTCCCTGACTCAGATGCAGGGACAAGAAGGTCCTTCACAAGGTGCTTCTGGAGCCACAATGCAAGATGTCGTTCTGTTTTAACGCTGACCCAAAGGTGGTGGTTCCCTTCAGCTGCTGATTCATCGTTCTCATCTGTAGTTCCTTGCTTCAGGACTGAAGTGTCTCTTCTCTGCTAATAGGAGGCAGCTGATGGTAACAGATACTGGAAGGAGCTTTGAGAGTTTCTGGGAACTCTGCTGCAAAATTGGCTTCACTTGCCAAAAGCTTTGGCTGTTATTTACATATTTGAAAGTCCCAACATTAATTATGAAGGTGTTCAGCAAGCGTCAGGAGTTCTTGTGTCTTGTGAAAAGACATTGAGTTGTGCTGATTTAAAGATGCTTTTATTAAGCTAGAATTACTTACTCCATCAGTTCAAACCTGATGAATTTGCAGATTTAAATAGCTTATTGAGTGTGGCTTGTCGAGTAAGAAGATTACATGCTGGCCTTTAGTTAACAAGATTTTTAGAAACCTGAAGCACAAATATTGAAAACACTTCAACACGTAGCAGTGCGCTGCCTTGCCTGGGAGTCATTAATTCTGCAGGTGTTCCTGCTGCAAATCTCTGCTCCTGATTTATTGATTGGGCTCCCTGGGTGCATCCCTGGGTCTCTCACTCAGCCCCTCCAGTGTTAAACTGCTGCAGAGCGAGAGCTGATGGAGGAGTCGCAAGACGTGGACAGAGCCAGGTATGCTTTGTTTTACAGCTGGCATTACTCGAAATTAACTCCAAATTACAGTCGGAATCACAGCATTTTGTTTTCTGAGAAATCGGCAACTTCTGGCACATGAACCTGATGCCTGTGGGGGTTTTTTTTTGTTGAGTTTGTGACCATCTCCATCGCCTGGAGAACTCAGACCTGAACAGGGGCTGGAAGTTTGGGTCTGCAAATGAGTGCGGTTGAGAAAGACACACTGAGAGAAATTCAATTTATTTTGTACAAGGCAGAATACCTTTGCACGGTGAACAAATATATTACAAATCTGTCTTGCCTTTTTAAAAAAGTATTGCCATTTTGGTGCCTATTTCCTAAGCTAATGCTATATACAAGAAGGTACATTTTTTGTTGGTGGTTTTGTTAATTATGTCTCTTTTTTTTTTTTTCCTGTTTAGCTCTATGCACATCGTTGCATTTGGTTTGAAAAATCCAGATTTGAAAAAAAAAAGAAGAAAATACTGAGCACACCTCTGCTCTCTGGAGTCTCATCGTGAACTTTACAGCAACACACACACACACATCGGTCAGGCCGGCAGCTGAGACTGCTTGTGCTGGGCGTCAAGGTCGGTCTCTTAACAAGAGCATTCCTTGTCCAACTGCCTTTCTCTTGATATTTTTGAGGTAAGTCTCTCTCTATTCATGTACATAAAATATATTCCCGCTGGCCTTACAAAAGAATTGTCTACTTACAGCTCAAATAAGGCTTTCCTGGAAAATAAGCTTGCTATTGCTGATCGGTCAGTGCCCCCATGCACACATGCAGCATTCAGGTAGCTATGGCTGGAAATCTGCTGCTCTGGAAGCCCAGGGATCCCTGGGCTCAGCTCTGCTGCGCTGCTGCAGCACTCCTGGGTTGTACAGAGGGGCTCAGAGCCAACACCACCACCCCTCAGGGTCCTGGCTCCTCCAGCACCGCATCCCCACGCCCTGACACAATGTGTTGCAGCAGAGAGCCCAGGGCTGCTGCATGCTCAGTGCTGCTGTGCCAGGGGCTTTGATGCCCGAGGCGAGGGCTGAGCCTGGGCTGGGCCCCTCCAAGGTGCTCTGAGTGATCCAACGCCTGGTCCGAGTCGCAGACAGGATTGAGCCGCTGCCACCGCACTGGAAGGCTCCTCCAAGCAGTCCCCTAGCCCAGCGGGTGACACAAGGGATCGTGCTTTGATAGGTGCCGGTTTCGGTCTCTTCGACTTCTGTCAGACTGGCGAATGTGCAACAGAGTTTGTTTTTTTTTTATATTTAAGAGGCGATCAAGTTGCTACTTCTGCATTTGCCTAATAAAATTACATACTTAGAATCAATACTACTTCATGCTCAAAAATCTACAAGGAAGTGCTTAACAGCAAGTAGTCCACTTCTAGGTCAATAAAGATTACCAAAAAAAAAAATTACTGTGGTGGCTTAGTCCAAAACTTTACAGCTGCTGAAAAAAGAAAACCCAGTTTCAGCTCAATTTAATGACATTTCGGGTAGAACCATCAATGGATAAAGTTGCACTACATGGTAATGCACATTGAATGAAAGGGAAAGGGCGTGCGGTTGGGTGAATCATGATGAGGTGGTTTATGGAGATGGTCTTAGCTTTAGGAAAGGAAACCAAACCAGAGTTGGGCTGTGCAAACCTGCATTGCTTTACCCTGCCTGACAGAGCTGGTGCATTTAGCTAACGAAGCAGAAGCTGTA